GCTGATTAACAGAGCAACAGGCAACGGGAGTGATTCAGGTGTCGAGCGTTCAGCCACTAACACAAAGATGAACCCTGACGAGCTCCACCGCCAGTCGCCTTCTAATGATACTCCTGTAGGGAGTGTTAGCGGTGGAGCAGGCGAAGACGGACCAGTTGAGGGCGGCCTTGACGCTTGTCACTCGAGGCCGTTCGCTAGCAATACGCGATCTCTTCCAGATCCTCACGAACGAAACAATGGCAATAGCTTAGTTGCGGAAGCGCTGCGATGCACAGCTCCGTATCGCTTAGTTCAGAACGCTGACTGGTTTCTGCCTCATCTGAGAGAGTCAGAACACAATATTGACGGTGTTAGAGTACAACGCTCACCTCCAACTATACATTCCCTCCTGAACAATTGTCAGCATGTACAGGGCGAAAGCATCAGAAAAAAGATAAGGAACCATCGTGAAAAATCTCTTTCGACTCTGCAGCAGATGGCTAACACAGGGTCAGCTGTGCCTAAACACGTTAGCTTTTTGTACGATGCGTTCGTGAATAACACTGCTTCACCCAATAACGGTGGAGGTAAAGAGGTAAAAAGTACTGCTAACGAACAGTTAGAACGCCTAATGGCAATGCAAACTGGAGGAGAAAATTCAGCAGCGCAGAATCAAGATCTTGATGAACAGGGCTATGCGGATCTAACGAAAGTAAAGACGGAGCGGGATGCGGTGGCGTTCTTTGCACGGCATGGAAGCACAACAAAAACCAAATTTCTCTTCTGTAATAGGGCACCTACAGATCCGATGGTATTTGATCCGTACAAGCTAGTCGTCGTGCCACAGAATGAAGTGGATCCAGAACACTTCACCATATCGGAAACCGCAGTGATGCACATTTGTCCAGGAAAGCCATCAGAGTGTTTCAGGCAAGACGAGTGGATGAGACAAGCATTCGTCCATTCCCTGCTGCGGACTCTGCCATTCTTCAAGACCTTTGTCGTTCGGAAGGTTTTATGCCTGTGGAGTCATGCTTCAAGGAAACACGTGTTCGACGAGCGGAAGGAAACGCTATGTAAAACGCTCTTCGTAGCCAAACCGATATATTGTGAGCACCTACTGCAAATTCACAAAGTCCTCGCCGGCGTCAGCGAAGTTAAACTAGTCGAGCTACAACCCACACTCTATGATATTTCTCAATTCATCGCCCAGCAACAAGCTCTTAGCTCGGATCCGAAGACTGGAGCAACCAAAGAGCTGGAGGTCAGCACAGAGTAGATGAGCATTGACGGTTCACATAGAGCCTCATTGATGTTGGCCGCCTATACAGAAGCGTGTACAATGGCCTTTTGAGGCTCATGGGACAAAAGATTGGGCGTCTCTCCAGTGACTGAATCGACGGGCTCCTTTATCAGTGCTACTGGTTGCAGGCCAAGCATAGCGAAGCACGGAGTCTGCTTGCCGCCCTGATGCAGAGGCTCCACGAGGCAACACAGCTTCCGGAGGTCGATCCCATGCAAGCTTGTTCTACAAATAAAGGAAAGTCAATTTTCCAGGCAAAACGAGAGGCGGCAGAACAGCAGAGACGTATACGGCTAGCATACAAGAACCAAGCACTCTTCGGACAGTTCATACTTCTTGTCGATCTCATCCTCACCATGAGACTTGCAAAGGTGCGACTCTGTAGCTGCCGCAGGTCCACCTTCATGCAGAAATGGTTCATGCCTAGACGGCGTGTCTGCTGCTTAGCGGCTTTGTAGTGGGCACTTATGAGGGGATGAGAAAAACGTGTGCAGCGTTTGACAGCCCTACAGCAGAAGCCTTTTAGGTGTTGACGGAGGTATACGCAGTCGTACATCGTGTCTATATCCTACCCCCGTGCAGGCCGTCACTAACGCAACAGTCAAGATGTTAGAACGTCTTGGCACAGCAGAAAACTGCTCGAAGCTCTTCTCCGTTAACGTGTCCTTTGGAAGCAAGAAAGTTGAACTCGACCCTAGCCGTTTGGACTTCATCTCCATGCATCAGGAGTGGTGGAATGGTAAGAAATTACACTTGAAGGTGTCCCTCCAAAATGCACGTGCGCCAGTACACAAGATTTAAGCGGGCATTCCAAGCAACTCCGCAACGATTCCGCATCTCATTTGGAGCAGCCTGCCAATAATCAGATAGGCCAGGACATCTCCGTAACTTAGATATGTATGAGCTAATAGGAGATCAAACTAAAACTTTCTGATTCAAAGACAAATCGGAGAATATTCCGTGAAAACGCAGGCGTCATTTCCACCGTCAGCAGTGTCCCTTTACTGAGCCAATGCCGCCAATTTGAAGACTCAGTTGCACAGGGGCCAACACTAAGTCTGGAATCGTTGCTATCGAAATCCAAGCACTTGCAGGTTATGAAGGTACTCTCGAATGTCTTGCAATACAGAAAAGTGGCTATTTTTCTTAAACAGAACGCCTTCGCACTTCTTGCGTTCAAAACTCAATTTTCCACTAGATGAAACGCTTTTGCGCTGCAATAGAACAGCTTTACACAAGAAACGCAATCACACCGGTAATGTCATGTGATTCAAGAGGGGCAACAACACTAAACTGTTCTGCAGAAACGAATTAAAGAGAGACTTTTCAAAGATTTCGACCGCGCGCAAAAGTACTCCGAGTCGTACTTTGGAATATACAGGTAAAGAACTCCTGTCGCTATATGACCAGCCAACGCTTTCTCTTTTATATGCTCATTTCGGGCTCCCTCGAAGATGATAATACTTCTACCATGTACGTTTCCCTAAGAAAACGTCTTTTCTTGACTTATTGCTTGCCTGAAACAGGCAGATTTACGAATATGGACAGAATTGGGACGAGACGGAATTCGCCAATTCGATAACTGGCCATGATGAACTGTCCAGTGAAATGGAGTTAATAACAGAGTTTGAGGAGAAACTGGAAAAACTCAATCCCGTACACGCAGTTGGGTTATTTTCAATAGAAGCGAGGACTCTTAAGTCCTCCTTGCAGCCCATTACGGAAAGAGCCCTCACTTTCATGAAACGCCTTCTGTGGAAACTCATGAAGGAGCACGTGAGTCCTAGAACTCGTAACATTTTGCAAGTTTCAGCGGGATATTTTTTCTAACGTCTATACTTTCAGAAATGCATGGCAAGCTTCAGCTTCCCCAGCCCTCGGCTTTTTCCTTGATTGCGCTTTTGACATCTTCTCCTGCCCTATGCCATTCAACTGCCTAACTGTTCAGGTACGAGCTACTGCAAGCCGCTTCGAATCCATAAACAGGCGCCTAGATGAACGCCCTACGAAACTTCTGTCTTTTGCCTCTTTCGTGAGTAGCTGCAAAGAGATCAAGTCTCAAATTGAAGACCTAGATCGAGACAAGGTGCGTAAAACATCTCAGAGCATGGCTTCGCAGAGATATGCAGACCAATGTTGTTCAGAAAGACCTCGTCAGGTGCTATCAGCTTTACTGGGGACGCTGGTTTATTATACAGGCAGATGCTGAGGAAATGTTTGCTTTGTTGAAACAATACGGTGTCCGGCTGGCTGTCGAAGACACCATTCAGCTGGAAAATATGCTGAAGAGTGCAAACGAGTTTGAGACATTCAAGCTGCTGGATGCAGCAGAGCACATTAGGTATCCAAACTTAGGGTTTCCTGACTCAAGCTAAATGCAGGTTCCTTCGCGGTAGGTAGCTTTCTTTCGGAAAGTCAAGAGAGGTCTGGGAAGAGTGGGAAACCCGGGGAAGTGAGCGCAGCTGATTCTTTCTTTGCGCAGGAATAACATTCAGGCTATGAAGCTTGAGCTGAAAGCAAAAACACAAGAGGTTGATAACGAGATACAGGACCTAGACATGCTCGTCAATGACGGTGAATTCTGTCTGCATATATGTCACAGAGTATGGGGTCTCTTAAAATGTCCCGTTTGGGGCCTGGACTGGCGGAAGCACCCCTTCCTCATTGCAAAATTGCTTTAACTGCGTCTTCACATGTTCCAGATGAGTACAAACGGCTGGATGCATTGAAGAACGCCACCAGGTGCTTTGAGCAGCTGAAGGAGTACCAGAAGCGCATCGACTTCGCCTATGGCAAGGCTGAGACGCTCAAAGGCATGAAGGAGCTCCTCGCTCCAGAGAGTCCTGCTGTTATTTCCAAGCATACCCAAGAAACGTTCCGCAGAATAAAGCCAAAGGTGGAAATGTGGCAGCAAATCTGCTCTTGGCAGGCCGATACGTCAAAGGTTAGGATAACTTTGAGCTGCTTACATCAACCGCAGCCTTGCATACCTGTGTTTCTTTCTGGTAAACAGAGAAAACAAAATAATTTTGAACTAGAATGGAGCTGATATGGGATTGATGCGATTGATCTGTCTTCCGGTGTCCTTATAGTGGCTTGGCCTGCCTTTGTCCTCATTGAACGCTGAAGAAATAGAAGCTAGGGTGAAGCGGTACCTGAAGGAAGCTTGCATAGCTCTGCAGAACTTTCCAACCGACCCCGTCGCAGTAGAGTTCAAAAAGGAAGTTGAGAGCTGGATTGCCCGCCTGCCGCTTATTATGGATTTGGGTAACCCTGCCCTCAAACGGCGACACTGGGAAGCGATTCTTGGAGAGCTTGAGTAAGCCGCAAGCAATGGCTGAAGATACATTGCTGTTACTGTTGCAGACTCACTTTAGATCGGAGGGCGCGTTCTTGGTGGTGTGGTAACTCTGCATAGAATCCCTGGCACGGAAGAGTCAGTGTCTTTGGAAGAAGTAGATCAGAAAGATATATATTCGAAACGGGACTTTATAAATGAAATATCAACACTTGCCTCAGTACAGCAGTCTCTTGTCCAGACCATGGATAAGATTTCAGCCGCTTGGGAAACGCGCGAATTACAGATTAAACCATTTGATGAAGATCCAAATGCCTTCATCCTTGGTAGGCCTGCAGCGACTATTAAACCAGTCGGCTAAGTTGTTCTGAAGTATGGCAACACTATAACCCCGCGCAGATTCCCTGCTGTTTATGCACCATGCCAGTGTTTTTCTCTTGTTCTGGTGAAGCGGACCTGAGTGAAGTACTTTCCACAATTGAAGAGCATCAAATATCCATGCAACGCATGCTGCACAACTCATATGTTGGCATTCTCAAGGACAAAGTGGAATTCTGGGCTGGGAAACTTGACCTGGCGCAACAAGTCCTGGGTATAAGAAAAGAACCTACTGTCGACCAGCTCCGCATCAGTTCTAACCGCCTTTATGCTGAGTAGTTTGCCTTTGGTCTGCAGTTTATTGCCGCTCTGCGGGAGGCGTTCTTGCGGTGTGTGTGCTTCAGAGGAACTGGCACAACTTCAGCGCCAGTGGATTGGCCTTCAGAGCATTTTCGGCAGCCCTGAGGCACTACAACAATTACCGGATGAGACAGAAGCATTTGAAAGGGTTGATGGATTTTGGAGGGCGTATCTGCGGAAGATTCGGAATGAGCAATCCAACGTCATAACAGTTGTGGAAGAGGAAGGGCTATTCGAGATCGTTGAGGAAAAAAACAAAACTTTAGCTGCAGTGCAGCGCAAGCTAGAGGTAATTTGGTTGGTAGAACCCACCAAAGTGCAAATCTATAGAGTGAACTGGACAAGCGGCTTATTATGGAGAGTAGAGCTCTGTGGATTCAGAAGCTAGTGTTTTGTTCGATGCACTGGTTCAGGACTACCTTGATCTGAAGCGTGTGGCCTTCCCAAGATTTTATTTTCTCTCCAGAGAGGAACTGGTCAAGATAATCTCGAAAGCCAAGCAGCCCAATGCCTTGCAACAATGCTTCCAAAAGTGCTTCGATGGAGTCCATGCTGTTGCTGTGGCACCAAATGGAACTTCAATCGAAGCCCTGTATTCCGAGGATGCATACAAACTGGACCTCCTACAGCCTGTCAATGCGCTAGCACCCGTCGAACAATGGTTTGCATCTCTTGAAGAAGCTATGATAGATTCGTTGAAGATTAATTTGAAGGCTGCTATTCAAACGAAAGTGGACCCAGGAGTCGACTTGGAGCAATGGCTGAATGAGTACCCTCCTCAGTGCATATTGACTGCAGCAATGATTCACTGGTTTTCCCAAACGGAGGATGCTCTACACATAGCGCAATCGGAAGGAGAATTTTGCGCCTTTCAAGAGCGCTTGGAAGACACCAACAACGAGATTCAACAGTGAGAGATACACTTTGGCGGCCGTGCTGGTGGTAGAAAGTGAGAAAAATAAATAGCATACTTCGGTGATTTAGATCATCGGCAATGAGCTGACATGGATTTTGTAGTCAAGGCCGTCGGCATGATTTTGGCGTGCCTTTACGAAGAGATATATAATTTGTTGAGAATGCGCCAATGTGGATCAGCCACTGAGCGGTTCGCGCGTAGAAGATTTGGGGAAATCATGTGCTTCATCGTCTCTGCCTTCAGGCTTGCGTTGCTCAATTCAAAGACAAATGTTCCATCGATTCAAAAATTGGCACAGTCTTCGCTTGTTTTGATGGTTCATGCCCGTGACATTTTGAGCGCGTTGGGTCGGGCGAAGAACATCAGCCCTTCGTGTTTTGAATGGAATAGGCAGCTGCGCTACTACTGGCAAACTGATGATGAGCACTGCAACATTGAGCAGCTGCAGGCAAAGTATGATGACAGCTATTGCGCAAGCGGAGCAAAGAGGCAGTATCTAGTTTTTTAGCCTCTCTGAGATCGCATCAGGAAGCTACGTGCCAAGCTAAGCCGTCTGGTTCTCCCGTTGCGTTTTGTCGTCTTTGCTACTACAGATTCCAATACAGGCACGAGTTTCTCGGCTCCTCATCGAGATTGGTTATCACACCCTTGACTGACAAGTGCTTCGTGACCCTTACTTCGGCCTTACAACTTGGGTATGGTGGCGCTCCTGCTGGGCCTGCTGGAACAGGTACAGCATACGGACGAAGCTTCCTCTATACCCGGGCCGACACGCGCCAGACTACAAATGAAATAGCATGGGATCTGCGACGTTACCAAAGGCGTGCGCTGAATGCGTGCTACGCAATGCAGGAAAGACTGAAACAGTGAAGGACTTGGCAAAAGCCTTGGGGTTGCCTTGTCTTGTCTTTAATTGCTCAAAGGACTTAGACCACCATGTTATGTCTCGCCTCTTTAGAGGCTTGGCTCAAACTGGCGCGTGGGCATGTTTTGATGAATTTAACAGGATTGACATAGAGGTCTTATCGGTTGTTGCGCAGCTGCTTTTAAAGATCCAAACAGCCGTAAGGGCTCAAAAGGATGTCGTCGAATTCGACGGTAGAACTACTCACGTAGACTCCAGGCAAGCAAAGCAAACACGGGACATTTTGCCCTTTTGAAAAGCACACACGGCTGAGGGAAGCTTTCAAGGATTCCACAAGTGCCTATTGGTCATGGGGTGTCTGTCAGGGTAGGAGTATGTATTACCAATAACCCAGGATATGCTGGAAGGACGGAATTGCCTGAAAATCTTCAGTCGCTTTTCAGGCCAGTGGCCATGGTCAGACCAGACTTTACGCTGATTGCTGAGGTTCTCATGCTTGCTAGCGGCTTTCTTACGGCGAGCTCTTTGTCAATTAAAGTAGCGCAGGTTTTTTCAATATCAGGCGCTCTACTTAGCCAGCAAATGCATTATGATTGGGGACTTCGAGCAATGAAGACGGTTCTGGTAGCTGCTGGTAAGTCTGTTTTACCAAATACTAGACTATTGGCGACTGTAGTGCTGTAAGGTACGACGAGATGGTTCCACGGGTACTTCGCCAAGTCCTCTTTGCTCGTGACTCTGGGCAGGACACATGAAGAAAAATCAGCCTGAAGATGACGAGGCAAGTATAGTAATGCATGCTCTTCGATCGGTTACTCCAAGACTTGTCACCGATGACGTTCCTGTATACTTAGGACTTATAGCTGACATGTTTCCCCAGCAAAGATTACCTAAGGCAAGTGACAGCCACATGAAAGCCGCACTAGAAAAAGTTCTTCAGGAGCAGCATCTCCAAGCTATACCCAGCTTTGTAGAAAAGGGAATGGAGCTTTATGAAACCCAGCTTCTCAGACATGGTTTGCTTGTGGTGAGTGGAAAAAAACTAGCGACTCGCATAGAATTCTTGCACCGAATTCTCGAATTTTGCAGGCAGGCTTTTGAAAGTTAGCAATCCTACAATGCTCACATGATTTTGGGGTCTCGGATACCATTGTGGGCCTGGGTAAACAAGCAAAGTAGTTAGACCTGTTCTCAGGTAGGAGCACCCGGAGTGGGCAAATCAACTTTAATCCTCGGTTTGTCAAGAGCAATGTCTCACGTTCGCGAAAAGGAGTATAATTCGTGCTCTACTGGAAGTGCTCAGCACGAAAGCTTCGGTATCACCGGTAACTGTGAGGTGTTGCGAGTGAACCCTAAAGCAATGGAAGAGAGTTTGCTATTTGGAAAAATTGACTCCAATACTACCGAGTGGCTGGATGGAATTGTAGCAGCGGTGCGTTCAGTGCATTGGGAGTTTGCTGGATACTTCCTAAGCTCTACACAATAGTTTTCCGTGAAACAATAAGGCCTAGTGGGCTGTGGAGTGTGGCAATACTTGTGGATTTCGGTTTTGCCTACAGCGTGTTAGAGACGCCATTGTGTCGCAGAGGAGCACTCACAATTGGCTAGTCCTCGACGGCCCATTGGATCCAAATTGGGCCGAAAACTTGAATTCGGCCTTAGATGACAATAAGCTGTTATGCCTTAGCAATGGGGAACGTATTGTCCTGCCCGATAATCTCAAGATCTTTTTTGAAGTAGCTGTACGAACCGTGCTTTCGTGGTTCCTTGGAACTTTGCCGAACTAAAAAGGAATGTTCGTCTCCCGCTGTGTCATAAGCCTTTCCATATCGGCGGTCATCGTTTCAAAAGCCGAATTGCTTCGGAGATTTTCCGTTGTTTTGCGAATGGCATTGTGGGGTAGGAATTAGGAGCTGCTTCTCCTGCTACAGTCAGTAGGTGTGGAACCGTCTTCATCGAGCCCGAGCACCGAGGATGGTCGCTGTTATTCCAGTCCTGGAGACAGTCATATGAAGACCAAAAGAACAAGTTTGCATCCCTTTCCTCAAGGATAGAGCTTTGGTGTATCTCCACCTTCCAGAAAGGCCTTGAGTACATTCATGGAAACTGCAAGGTTAGTTGCACACGGCTGCTTGACCTGTGAACAGTGCATTGTCGATAGAAGTTTACGATGGGTTCCTGTCTAGCCCACATCGAGCTTTGGCTCACCCACACTCCATGAGCAGCCCACTCATAGGAATATCCCCTTCAGTGTATACCTGGAGAATGTGCGTGTTGCTCTTGCTCAGTTGGCAATGCCATGGAGTGACTTGTTCCTTGCTGCCTCAGTGTGCCGGCTTCTTACAGCTTTGCTGAATCAAGTTACCCTGCAGCATATAGCCGCGGAGCACACTGATGATGTGGCACGCATGTATTTTGCTGTTGCAATGGCATGGGGTCTTGGCGGACTCTTGAATCATGAGCAGCGAGCTGAGTTTTCAAAAGCCCTGCTTCCAGAATTACGCATTGTCTGCAAGCAGCTTGAAAGCCTTCCGTCTTCAGCAACCATTTACGACATTACGCCGGACGTAACTACTTTGAAGCTGACAACCTATGACGCTTTGGTGCCCAAATATGCGTTCGAGAGCGGGCTTACAGTTACCAACATGTTTGTGCCAACATTGCGAACAGCAGCCAACTTGCATGTGCTTCAAACAATTGCGCAGGTGAGGCTTTTCCGGGACTCATGCATCTGTGGCTACGGGCGAGTATCATGCGAGACAAGTTTCTCCCAGTGGTGTACTCACGCAGATTGCAAAAGTGAAAGCTTTCTTATGTCAACCTTTCCAGGGCGGATACGGGGTTCTGCTTTCTGGTAAACCTGGCACTGGAAAGAGCGCTTACCTCCAACAGTGCACAAGGGCACTTGGAACTTCACAGACGTACTGCAAAATGTCGTTAGGACAACGAACTACCACAGACGACGTAGAAGACTTCGTATTGTCTCGTTTCGTGAAGCGGCACCGAAGATCGCTAGGACCGCCCTATGGCTCTCGAATGCTGTTTCTAATTGACAACATAGCAGTACCTATCCCAGATCAATTTGGAGCACGAAGACCCCATCAACTGTTAAGACAGATTGTTGAATATGGGGGGTTTTTTGAAAGGGCTCGTTTTCAGTTTATTCATGTCGAAGATACAAGTACTATCCTTTCCGGAGCAACAGAAGTGGCAGGGGTTGCCACCGATATGAGGTAAGTTCTTATTCTAAGCACATCAGCTGTTGCAAAAAATTTGTGAACACGCGCCTCAATGTTAACTGAAGCGCAAGGTGTTGAGGCTCCTCTTTTGTCTTGGTGCTAGGCTTCTCCGTCATTTCAATATTTTGTTTCAAGATGACTATGCCCCAGCAGACATAAGGTACATCTTTACACAAATCCTTCGCGGAGCTTGGGAATATAGCTTACCAACATTGTCCAACTATGCAGAAGTCATGATTGATGCCACTGTAGCAGCATACGAGCGAATCAAAGGACATCTGCTGCCGACGCCTCTCAAGTGCCACTACACATTTACAGTGCGCGAAGTTTCAAGAGCACTGGAAGTCATGCTTATGGCAGATACCAGTAAAATCGCCACCCAAGTTGACATTGCTCGGTGAGGCGAAAGCCGAAGTCTTGCCGCTGCTCTGTTTTTCCCGAGCAAAGTGCTGCTTTACTCTCTACGCGGTCTGTCTACTCTCGCATTATGAGTAGGCTCTGGCTCCACGAAATGCAGAGGCAGTTTGTAGATCGTCTGATCTCCATAGAGGACCGAAAATGGACGGAAAGGGTGTTGCTCAAGCAAATTTCGGCCTCCCTTGACCTAAAAGATGAGCTGGAGGACTGCGTTTGTTCCCAAATCATTTTCGGCGACTTTGCCGAGATCGGTTCCGGCAAGAATTACTCAGAGATTTCGATTTCAGAAGAAGAGATGAATGTCATTCTCTCTAGGTATGCTCTAAGAAATCGTGGCCTTCTATTCTGAGCTCAGTTCAAGACCAGAAGAGCTTGAGAAGTGAAAGTGGAAGTAAAGAAACACTATAATGGTGTAGTACGGTGACTCGTAAAAGAAACTAATGCATACTGCTGGCTTAATTGTTTTGTGGTTTATTAGGTACCTTGAACAGTATAATGCAATGGCAAAAACACCCCTCGACCTGGTGTTTTTCGAGCACGCTAACAAGCATATCGCTAGGCTATGCAGGATACTGAGAATCCCTGGGGGTCATGCACTTCTTCTAGGTACAAATGGTTCAGGTCAGACTCTCATGTTCCGCAGAATGGTCAAAGGTTTTCCAGAGAAAATTCCGTTCACCGTCTGTGGCTGGCACGTTGGTTGCTGAGTTACCCAGAGAGGGGGTCCATGTGCGTTCTCTTATGAGACAAGCACATCCAACCTCGAGTTCTATCCATACATGCGCTGTATTGACAGGCCGTGAAAGTTTGTCTAACCTAGCTGCTTCCGTAATGGACTTCAGCCCCGTTACTATTTCGACAAGGTCTCGGTGGGGTCCTAATGACTTGCGGGAGGATTTAAGAGATCTTATTCTCCAGATCTGTGCAGACAAAAAAGACCTAGTGTTCCGCGTCTCAGAATCTAAAATTAAGCATGACGAATGGCTGCAAGATATAACTAGCATGATAGTCACAGGTGAATTGTTGCATTGATTGCTGCTCACAGTGCTTGCCGCAGCCTTGGTCTTCACATAGTTTTTTTGTTTGCTACGAAGCAAAGCATTCAAATGTGGCTCAGCAGTTGTGCAATGTTCAGGAGAGATATACGGAATATTTGATCAGTCCGATAGGGAAAAGCTTTCGTTTCAAGTGAGGTCCCCTGAAAAACCAGAGCCCGGAAGTCCTGCTGATGGTTGGGAGGCAGTTGTCTCTCTAATTCAGCGGAAGCTTCACTTCGTGATAAGTATGTCCGCTTCTGGCGAGACGTTCAGGCAAGTGCTTTCAATGCATCACATGCAGCTATGAAGAAT